TCTGGCTCAAACTCCTCTCCAAGTGACTGACTCAAACTGGCTTCTTTCACTTCTGACTGAATTACTCTGCTTGGCCCCATACTAGCTATTGGAGTCTGTTCTAATCTTCTGGGTCATTCCATCTTCACCTGTGTCTAGCTTGTTCTCTCTTCAACCTGTCTCTGTACAACTCTCCCCATAAAACTGCCTCTTCCTTTTTCTCTCTGTGCTGCTTTCTCAAACAGCTTCTCTTTCCTCTCTGTTCTCATGAGAGTTTGGCATATCCTATTCTGTCAAATATTTCTCTGATTTGTGTCTTTGTCAGCCTCTCAATTAGATGTCACTTTCAAACATGGGTGCTTCTTTCTACAAACTAACTTTACCTTCATTGTTTGGAATTAAAGGCATATAACTAAGGGGATGCCTGTATTCCAGAAGGATCACACAGACCTAGAAGGTCTTTGAATGTGATCAGAGCAGCCATGTTGCTAGATTAAAATTCTTCTACAATAGATGTCATTCTTCACAATAGATGTCATCTGTAGAATGACATCTAATGTGACCTCTGGTCTCCAGACATAGGTGCATATAGTATATACAGATACACAAAAAGAAAGGATGAGAAGGGAAAAGGAAAGGGAGAAAGGAGGGGAGGGTATAGAAAGGGAAAAGTTGAGCAGTTTACCTTGGTGGAAACCAGCCCTTTGGAAACTGAGGCAGGAAGACTGCCAAGGGTTTGAAGCAACCAGGGCTAGAGTAAGAACAGCTCAAAAATAAAATAAAAATAATTGAGGCAGGTACAGTGGTACATGCCTGTAAGACCAACACTTCCACAGCTGTAGGCCGAGGAAGATCATAGCAAGAGGAATAAGACATTGATTAATAATTGAGAAAGTTTCAGGTAAAGAGAAAATATGTCTTGAAAAATAAATAGCCGGAAATAAAATTAGACACAAAAATATAGAACATAGGTTTTGTGTTTAGAAGCTAGTCTAGGTACAAAGCTCTAGTGCAAAAAGGAGGGGAGTCAGCCTCATTCAACTGAGGGCTTCTCAGTCATAGTCTGAATTCCTTCTGCTGCTTGCCTGGGTTCAATTTACTTCTTACTTTGGAAGAGTTACATAAAGCTGAAAATGCTGGGACTGATGCTTTTTCCAGTTAGAAAATATGCTTTTGTTTTTATCTTTGCAGGTTATATGGAGGGATGAATTATCGTCGGCTAGGAGGTGGCGTAGGAGTTATTAAAATGACACATTGTGAATCCCACATATGGTGAACCCAGAAAGCATACACTTCTTTATATTTGGAAGAGCCTTGACTTTGAAGCTTTGTACAGCTCAAGAAAACATTAGAACAAATTTTATTCTTTGCCGGTGCCTCAACATTCAGAAATACCAGTCTAACGATGGGACTCACCTGCAAGATGCCACCTTTGCACAAAACCTTTCTGCTCTGTATACAGAGTATTTATTTTTGGCTTTAATTTATCATGGAGTTTTGATGGGTATTGTTTTTGTTTTTGTTTTGTTGGCTTGGTCCTTTGGTTTTTTTGTTTAATTTTTTTTTTAACTTATCCTTCCTACTATGGGGGGAAAAAAAGGAGAAAAAAAAAAAAAAAACAGGCAAAAATTCCAAGCTGCAAAGTTTTCTTTGCTTTCTAGGTTTTGGGTTGATTTTGAAAATACTGATAAGGGCAGAAGGGCTATTTATAACCTGGGTGTTATTCCTATTAGACACTATCCATCTACAAAGATTACCAGTGATAAAGATAGATACGCAATGCATATTCGCTAGTTATCATTCTTGCACTAAATATTAGAGCACATTAAATATAAACATAAAGGGGGCTGGAGATGGTTCAGTAAAAGCATGTACTGCTTTTGCAGAGGACCTGGATTTAGCTCCCATCACCCACAATTGGCAGCTCACAGCTGTGTGTAACTCCAGCTAGAGCAGTGGTTCTCAACTTTCCTAAAGCTGCAACCCTTTAATATAGTTCCTCATGTTGTGGTGAACCCCAACCATAGTATATTTTCATTGATACTTCATAACTATAATTTTGCTACAGTTATGAATTGCAAACATCAGGCATGCAGGATATCTGATATGTGACCCCTGTGGAAGGCCCAAAGTGGTTGCAACTCACAGGTTGAGAAAACAGTGGGCGCTTATTCAGGGCTGTCTTTTGGCCTCTGCAAGTACCTGTACTCCTGTGTATTCACACACCCAAATGCACATAGGCCCCACAAATACGAGTAATTAAAAGTAAAATTTCTTTTAAATGTAAAAGGAAAACAAAACAAAGACACATTTCGCTAAATAGAACAATTTATAAGGAATATTAAATCCATAAGAGCAGGACTTGGATGCTACAGTTTTCATTCACTAGTGGATGTTTACATCTAAACTGAACTTGCTTCCAATTCCCACCCCAACACACACACCTCTTTTTTTCTGCCACAAGTACCTAGGTCTCTGCTCAGTGCCTCTTATTAAAACAGTGTGAGTGTCATTCATTGCTTTGAGAATACAGTAAAATCAAGTGCTCACAGATGTTCCCACCTGCAGCTTTCCCTCCTATCTCCTCATTGCCATCAAGGAGAAACAACCTCTCTCCAGCCATGAGCTGTGTTTCAGTTTACACTGGATATTCCAGGCTGGTGGATCTGGGCCGACCTTTAGCAACACCTCCAAAGGAATGATCTTCAACTCCTGTTAGCAGTACCTGTGAAGGGATGTCAAGGCAGCCGAAGTGTAAGAACAGAGCTGGGGTCCTTATGCTAATTATCTACCACTGTCTTTCATCCATAAGGCCACTGTTACTATGTCTCTTAAGTTGCACTTTCTGATGAAAGGTTAAAATTTTTAAGGAAATAAGCGAAAATTTTAGTGCCTATGATTCTCCCCATTATAATCATAGACTGATTTCTTTTCTTTCAATATATTTTGCAGGAAAACCTTTGAATGAGACTTTAGCCACAACCAAAAGGAATAACCTTTACCTTCTTCCTCTCCCCTACAACAAAATGTTTGACAACTTTTGTGTTTACATTTAAACATCATTTGCACCTTTTTCAAAGAAAAAAATAAGTATTTGGTAAACAATTGTTTACATGTATCATTTATGCTTTTTTCTAGCATGTATAACTTTTTAAAATAAAGGTAGTATTTACCATAAAAATGTTTTAATTTTGGTTTGTTTGGTTTTTTTTCTTCACAGTGTGTGTGTGTGTGTGTGTGTGTGTGTGTGTGTGTGTGTGTGTGTGTGTAGGGGTGCAACAGAGCATGCCACAGTTCCAGAGGACAACTTGCAGGAGTTGATCCTCCTTTCATCATGTGGATTCCAGGACTCAAACTCAGTTCATCAGGCTTGACAGCAAGTGAGCTGCTGAGCCTTCTCTCCAGTCCTAGTCACTGCTGTTTGGTACTTCTAACTTTACTATTTTTTTGGAATTTTTATTTTTGTATATTACACAGCTTCTTTATAAAGTTACAAGTACTTCATCCTGACAGTGATACAATTAAGATTTCTATGTATCTTACATTATCCAATCTATAAACATATTTTTTGGTATGTAAGAGTCCTACAGTTTGGGACTGAAACGACTAATCATCTAGTCCAAACCCATTTAGTACACTCACCACAGTCTGTAATTCTTTTTCTTTGTTGGGCCTTTATGTGGTTTGGGTATCAGGGTAACTAACTCTGGTCTCATAAAATGAACTGAGCAATGTTCCTTGTTCCTATTTGTGGAATAACTTGAGAAGTATTGGTACTAAATCTTCTTTGGAAGTTTAGAATTCTGTGCTGAAACCATGTGGCCATGAGCATTTTTTGGTTGGAAAATTTAATAACTGCTTCTATTTCATTGTTATGAGTCTGTTTAAATTGCTTATCTGATCCTGATTTAACTTTGGTAAGTAGTATATATCAAGAAAATTATCCATTTCTTTTTTTTTTTTTTTTTTTTTTTTTTTTGGAGAGGCTTTTAAAGTATGTCCTTATAACTATGGATTTCCTCAGTGTCTGTTATTATGTCCCCCTTTTTCATTTTTAATTTTGTTAATTTGGATTTTTTTCTCTGCATTTTAGTAAATTTGGATAGGGGTTCGTCAGTCTTACTGATTCAAAAACCAACTGTTTATTCCATTGAATCATTATAATTTTGTTTCTATTTCATTGATTTCAGCCCTGAGTATGATAATTTCTTGCTGTCTACTCCTTTTTCATATAATATCTTATCATTCTAGAGCTTTCAGGTATGTTGTTAAGTTGCTAGGATGAGATCTCTCCTCTTTTTTTTTTTTTTTTTTAATGTTGGCACTTTAGTACTATGAACTTGCCTCTTAGAACCACCTTCACTGCCTTCACTTAGAACCAAGTTTGGGTATGTGTATTCATTACCTGGAACTCCAATGGCCACACCTATCAGGATACTAGAAGATTTTCCCACCATGCAACACACAGCCCCCACTCTCTCTTAAGAACCAGAGAGGGCAATAGAAACTAAGGAGCAAAACATCCACCCAACAAAGACAAGACCAGATATCAGCATCATGAATTACAATCTTCCCAAACCCAGATGCCTAGATGCCATCATAAAAACAATCGTAACAACCAGGACAATATTTCTCTACCAGAACCAAGCAACCCTACCACAACCCTACCCTACCCTGAGAATTGTAACATACCAAAGCACACAATAAAGACCTTAAAATAGCCTTTATGAATATGATAGAGGTCCTTAAAATGGAAACAAATAAAGCCTTTAAAGAAATCTATGAAAATACAGAAAGTGGAAGGAACTGAATAAAACAGTTCAAGACCTTATAATAAATAATAATAATAATTAAAAAATGCAAAAAAAAAAAAAAGAAATAGAAAATGGAATCAAAAAAAAAAAAAAAAAAAAAAAAAAAAAACAAGCTGAGGGAAATCTGAAAGTGAAAAATTAAAGAACTCGAACCTCAGAGGGAAGCCTCACTGACAGAATAAATAGCCTAAATCAAAAACAGCAGATTTTAGATAAGTTTATTTGACTAAGTTAGATAGGTTTATATTAACAATTCAGCATCTTTTAAAACATTACATATAACATAACCACGGCGATACGATAGGCATACAAGCACGTGAATGCGGCTCACCCACTACCACACTGTGTTGTAGATCCACTGGGCAACTCCAAAGGCACCATGAGAAACAGGTGCTATGGTTCTTGCACTGTCCCACTTGGCATAGCAACTCAGCAAATAATCAAAAGGGCTTGTAATGTTTCATTTATAGTCCATACAAGAATTCACTCAATTTGAAAAATTGCCAGTTCTGTCATATATGCCAACACACCAATAAGGTATTTATGACACAGAATCTGTAAAAGAAAAAAAGATTATAGGTTTAAAATTTAAGACAGTAAGTATTATGATGACAAAGCAATTTGATGCTTATGGTTTTTGTTGATTTTTTCTTATTTTTAATTATGTAGTTGTGTGTGTAGGTATATGCACATGAATGCAAGTGCCCAAAGAAGTCAGAGGCATCTGATCTCTTGGAGCTAGTTACAGGTTGTGAACTGCCTGATGTGGGTGCTGAGACCCCAATTCAGATCCCCTGCAAAAGCAGTACAGTTCTCAACCAGCTGAGCCTGGTTAAAAACGGCTTTTAAAAGGCCAGAAGAGGGTGTTGGATCCTCTGAAACTGAAGTTATAGGTGGTTGTGACCTGCCCAGTCTGGGTAGTAGGAACTGAACTCTCAGGTTTTCTGCAAGAAGACTAAGTGCTCTCAAATCACTAAGCCATCTCTCCAGTCCTTGTTTTAGTTTTCTGAGACAGAGTTTCAACTAGCCAGAGCTGGCTTTGAATTCTCTCTGTTGTCAAGTATGACTTTGGACTATTGATCCTTCTGCCTCTACCTCCCAAGGTCTATTATCATAAGCGTGTGCCATTATATTAAGTTTCTTTTTTTTAATGCTTAACTCTTCTCATCAAAATCATGTTCCAGCTGATTATTTCACTTTTACCTCCAGTTTGAAAATGGAAGTTATACAGTACTCGTGGAACTTAAGACATAAAAGTTCAAATATTGACTCCTTTTTATAAAAAATTATTTCTTTTGTGTCTTTATGTATGTGCATGCCACAGCACATATATGGAAGTCAGAGGGTAACTTTCAGGAGCTAGTTCTCTCCTTCCACCATTAAACTCTTTGAAGAGTCTAAATAATGACAAAATAATAGGACACATTCACCAGATGTATATAGGGTTGTGTATTTAAGTATATCTTAAAGGGACCAGAGAGATGGCTTAGTGGCTAAGGGTACTGGCTGCTCTTCCAGAGGACCCGGTATGTTCAATTCCCAGCACCCACATGACAGCTCACAAACAAACTCCAGTGTCAATGGATCCAAAGGTTCCCTCCTCTGGCCTCCTTGAGCACCAGGTGCAGCACACACATGTTGCATACATGCATACAAGTAAAACACCAATATACAGAAGTAAAAAATTAAAAACAAATGTCTTAGGAAACTACGAAACTACTTGTTTCTTTATAGAACATAAAAACCATGTCTATGTGACTTCCTTTCTAATGGCAACAGAAAAGCCTAGAAGGCAAAGATGACATTCTGTCGCTGGCTTTAATTTTATGCCACCCATAAAAATGCTGTTATTTTAACAATTATTTCAAAATTTGGCAATTTTGAAATTTTTAGTTGCTAGAGGGCAGCTCATATTACTCAGCTCTACAGAGCACAAAACAGTGCCCTTACACTTTAAGGCTAGCTCTAGGTGGCTAAAGACATTGGTGGGTCATTTATAAAGCATAAAATAAGTCTCTCTAACGTTGTGAACTACTATGCATTCAACTATGTTGCTCCATGTAAAAATACAATCACATTTGGAAAATATGACAAAAAAAAATTAAATAGATATATTCGTTCAAACTAACCTTTATTTTCCCATCAGTATGTGCTGAAGCTACAGATGTTGAGACACGAACCAATCTTGTGGCTGATAAGTGAATTTTAAAATGTCTATGGAAATGTGAACAAAGGCAGTCCATAAATAAGTCAACTTCGTCCTGGGTGACCTCCCCAGGTGTTTTGTGGACACTGTCCCATAAAGCTTTTGCATCCTCTGGATGGATTGCATAAGAAATATCCAGTCTTTGAGGGCTACAGGGCACAGACCAAAAAAATTCAGTAGTTGCCACGTAATGGTCCATTTTGCATGCAGTCCACATAGCAGCCATCCAGGAAAGATTAAACGCACTGATTGTTAAAGGACTGAAGCAACAGTCAAAGGTTTTCTGAAACCAGCTTCCGATTAAGGATGTATTAGACTCTGCTCCATTTGCAAGGAACAAGGGTAGGCAGGTGAAGTCTTCTGAGACGGTCTCCAGGAGACTGTCTCCAAATACACAACAGAACCAACCAGTCCACAACACTTTACCTTCTCTGTGCTCACGTGATGACTGAGATTTTGAGAGAATCTACAAGCAAAACAAATTATTAAGTTCAAAAGACTATTTACTCCTAAACTTTATCTCCTAAAATTAGTATATTAAAAGACCAAGCATGGTTGGCACATGCTCATAATCCCAGGCTGAATCAGAAAGACAAGGAGTTCAAGGCCAGCCTTGGCTCCATAGCAGGTTTGAGGCTAGCCTGGCCTATGAAATACTGCCTCAAGTAATGAATGAATGAACGAATGAATGAATGAATGAACAAACAAATGCACAATAATGGGATAACTGTTGTGGGGTTAACTAATTACTTTCTTACTAGATTTGAGCCCTGCTCCACAGGAAGGAAATCATGTCTGGGATTATAAGCCTAGGCTCTAATGGGCAAGGTACTTATTGATAAGTGGACATAATGTCCCTTTCAAATTACTGTCTTAAAATATTTATGTTGTACTCATAGATGAATACTGCTGTCAGCTTTAGTCAGGAAAGTTTCTTTTTGCTGTGGCCACAGTTACCACAGCTTACAACAGGCCAGAGAGTTGTAAGCTGTAACAGAGAGTTAAGCAGTGGTTAAATAGAAATATATTACTTCCTCTAATACTTAGGGAATATGCACAAAGAGTAGGTGGGGAGAATAGAGCCAGAGGAATAGGTAGAAGCATTATGGGATGCTGTCTCTGGGCATGACCTGGCAAACTGCACTCTTGAACTCTCCACAGCTAATTACTTGCAGAAGAGTAGGTTCATCAACATTCTCACTTGAAAGAGGGAGAATTTCACAGAGCTCCACTTATCCCTGAGGATATACAGGCAGTTAATGACTGCTGAGGGAGACATTTTCTTTAGTGGAACAGCTAATGTTAGGTTGTCTGTGTTGCCACAATAAATAACCCCTCACCTGTGCTCCTGTAAACAGCCCTAACAAAACTCATGGGGTCACCAAAAGAACAAGGGAGGAGAGTAGAAGAGGAACTAGCTGGGAAGAGAAAGGAAATCAGCAAGGGTGGGAGGGCACAAGGGGTTAATAATCAAAATAGATCACATACATGTATGAAACCCACTATCTTGGTTAATTTATATATGCTAAAAAAAAAATTTACAAAAAGAACACAACAGCCCAAAACAAAGTGCTGTGTTACATGTGTAAGCCATGTCTAGCTTCTTTTCCTTTTTAAATACTGTCATTTTCTATGTCTCACTCTCCCTATTTTATATCTGTAATAAAGTATTAAAACTGTTTCTTAACTCTAACGTCACTTCATTAAAAAACAAAATTAAAATATTATTATTAATAACAATAATAATAGCTGATATAAAATGACAAAGAGAAGCTTCTCTAATCATATTAATAGGGCTTATCAAAACTTTGACTTTTGGCCAATATTTTTCTATACCAGAATTAGAGCATATAGCAAGATCTTGCCAAAAAACAAATTAGAAACTTTTTATATAGCACACTCAGGTACAGTATCATGGGGAAGAAAAAAAATCTCAACTTTGGAAGGGACTACAGAAGATCTCCAGGTCCAACAGCTTACATTTTGCCATCGACAAGGAACATTTCCCACAGCAACTCTTTTCATCAACTCAATGTTCTTCCATATGTTACACAGTTCCCATCCACTCGTCTCCTTCTTCAGTACAGGCATGTAAGACAAATAAAATCTAATCTCTCTACTATAAGAAAAGCCCTTCAGACACCTGCTGATCTGTAACACATACACTGTCAAGTTCAACATCTCCAGTGCCTTCAAGCCATTCCTCCTAGGACATACACTCAGTGCCTCTTCTCTGAACTTCTTATGCAGAGGAGCCATCCAAACGTGAAAAGTTTAATGACAAGGGCCTAAGAATCTAACTCAGTGGCAAAGTACAGACTGTATAAAAGGCTCTATGTTAGAAAAAAAGTCTGATTAGATCTTTGACCTAGAATGTACCATTAATATAATCTCAGATTACAGACCTCTGATTTTTAGTTGGCATATTTGTATTAAAAAAACAAAACAAACAAACAAAACCCCAGGGCTGAAGAGATGGCTCAGCAGTGAAGAGCACTTGTTGCTCTTGATGAGGGCCTGTGCTCAATTTTCAGCACCGGTATGATGGTTCACAACCATCCATAATTCCAATTCCAGGTGAGCTGATGCCCTCTTCTGACCTCTAAGGGTACCATGCACACAAGTGGTGAGATATACAAACAGGCAAAACACACATAAAATGAATAAATCTAATTTAAAAAAATTAAAAGGCCCAATACATTCATCTTTGCTATTAATGTATAAAATGTAAATCTCCCCTCAACCTAAATCAAAGTAGTAAACTTAATTCTACTAAAATTTAAAGGTCTTTCAGTTTGTTCCATTGTGCTAATCTGTTCAAGATGGTTTAAAATCTTAATTATATTCCCATGACTAACCCCTCAAATTTCCCATTGTAAATTACATAGTAAACACACCTTCAAAACACTTATAAAAGTTTCTGTTAAAGTACTAACCAGGGCAACATTTATATCATTGTCCCAACATATTTCTTAATAAAGAATCATTTAAACAGTTTTTTTTTTTTAAATCATAGCTCCTTATTCAAGAGATTATGAGGGATTTAAACATCCCCAAGACCAAATATACTCTATGTATCTCACTGTCATGACTTAAGAGTCCTGAAAGCTTATCAAGAAATAAAAATTTGAAGCCCATTGCTTTCCAAAGTGACTGCTGAAATTTTTATGTTCCCACCAGAAGAGATAAAAAAAAAAAAAAAAAAACAAAAAAAAAAACAACCCTGCATTCCTGAGAGTTAACATGGTATCACATACCACATGGAAGGATATAATGCACAGAATTTTAATAACATTTTGCTTCTGGGAACTAAAACCTAAAAAAATACACTGATTTAAAGTTCTGGTTAGTTTTTAGACACCTTAACACAGCTACAGTCATCTGGGAAGAGGGAACATCAACTGAAAAATTTCTATACCAGAGTGGCTCATGGACAAGTCTGTGGCCATTTTCTCGATTGATGATTGATGTAGGAGGGCCCAGCTCACTGTGGGCAGTGCCACCCTGAGCAGCTAGACCTGACTGTGTAGGAAAGCAATGGGTAGCCACGGGGAGAATGCCAGTAATCAGCATCCCTTCTGGTCTCTGCTTGAGTTCCTGCCTTGCCTTCTTCCATCATGGACTGAGACATGGAATTTATAAGGCAATATATAAATTCTTTCTTCCCCAGTTGCTTTTGGTCAGTGTTTTATCACAATAAAAAATAAACTATCGCATATAGCTGTATCTACAAAAACGTAGAATTTCTGTATGAATAGAATATTATAAACAACACTGATTAGGCAAAATGCCATAATGCAAAGTATGGACAGTGAGATCCCAATTTTAAGACTATACTGATTCAGATAAACGAGTAGATGTATATCAAAATGTTAAATCTGAGTTTTAAAAAATTATTATGTGTATGTGAGTACATAGTTGGGGGGCATGTGTGCAGACTGGAATATAAGGACAAAGAACATCGTTGTGGACTCACTTCTACCCTTCTACCTTTGGTTCCAGGTTATCAAATTCAGACCACCAGGATTGCCCAAGCCAGCACTAGTTTATTAAACTTCCTTTATACTTCTGTGTGTTTTCTAAAACCAACATCATATTGCATCCACAAGAAAAATTTCCTATACATGTAGGAGACAAAAATTAAGTTGACTATTTTAATTATTATAATATAAAAAGAGCCAAGCGTTGGTAGTACATGCTTTTTAAATCTCAGTACTTGGAAGGTAAAGGCAGTCAGATGTCTGTGAGTTCGAGGCCAGCCTGGTCTACAGAATGAGTTCCAGGACAGAATGGGCTACACAGAGAAACCCTGTCTTGACAAAAAGTGAAATAAGTAGATAAGTAAGTTATAAAATAAAATTTAAAAAAAGAAAAAAAAACACAAGCTTTGGGTCAGCAAGATGGTACTTGGTGTCATGCCTAACAACATGAGATTGATCCCAAAACCCTACATTAGAGAGAACTAATTCTAGTAGGTTCTCCAAATTCTACAAGCGCACTATGGCACACATGTGCACACACAATTAAATAAACAAAAACATCAATGTAATAAAAAATGTTTTTAAATGAAAAAAAAAAAGAAGCCAATAAATACTTTAATTTCCATTCCAAACCGACAAAATACAGCCTTTTCCCTCCCTCTGCAAAGCAAATTTTGCACATATTCCACTATACCTGCACAAGAAAGGCTTTAGGGTCCCTTTGCGTTCCCCTCACTCCAAGCAGAGTGGAGAAGCTCACTTTGATGTTGAAGTCTTCTCCCACTTCCACAGCGAGTCCTTTTTGCTTTTCGGCAACAACAAATGCACTGAGAAGTCTAGAGTACTCTTTGAGATTAGTATAGGAGAATTTATACAGGGGAGTTAAACTATATACAGTCCACTGTTTGTGCAGGAGAAATGCAACCTTCTGAGGATCGATATCTTCCTAAAAAAAAAAAAAAAATTTAAAAAAAAAATCAAGACATGGGTTTGAAAAAGTAAAACAAGACAGCTCCCAATGTTATCCAGATCTGTCCTTAGTTCTTATCTCAGAGGCTACTCGAACACAAATGTAATGTATTACTCCAAGTCTGTCACTGTCTACTAACCATTTTGTTTTTCTTTAAAGCACTTACTATGATATGACTACATCTGTCTTATTTTTCTTGTCTTCCCTTCCAATCAGAGTATAAGCTTGCTGGGGACAGGGTTTTGTCTATTTCATTTACTCTAGCTGCTGGAACATAAAACAGTGGCATCTCACAGGATTTCATAAACATTTTATGTTCTACTTTATATATATCTTGGAAATAGTGATGCTGTCACTTAATGACAGAGGCTTGCCTCGATGTGCACAGTCCTGGGCTTGTACACACACAAAAGGATTTCTGAAGGACCTAGTTTGATTAGCCTTAAGTAATTTAAAAGCTTTTTTGACAGCAAGTCCCCCTTATGCAACAAAGCCTAACTCAGTATAATAAATAAAAGGATACTTAGAAATATGCTTGTCTACGCTATTAGAGTCATGAGTGCCATCAAAAACCAAACACTTTGGTAGAGATGTAAACCAGCGCACACTACAAAGTCAGGGTAGAATTTCTTTAAGACACTAAAAAATATGACCTAGCTGGACCACTCTTGCTGTATATGCACAGGACTCAGAGTAACATACCATAAGGGTACGTGCTCAATTCATGTGCACACTAAATAAAGAAAATGTTTTAACCTGGGCACACCTTTAATCCCAGCACTTAGGACGCAGAGGCTGGTGGATCTCTGTGAGTTCGAGGCCAGCCTGGTCTACATAGTGAGTTCCAGGACAGCCAAAGGCTATATAGAGAAACCCTGTCTCAAAAGAAAGAAGGAAAGGGAAAGGGAAAAGGAAAAAAGAAAAAAGGGAAAGGGAAAAGAGGAAAAAGGGAAAGGAAAAAAGGGAAAGGGAAAGGGAAAACAGGAAAAAGGGAAAGGAAAAAAGGGAAAGGTACTAAAGAACACAATAGAACCTATGCAACCTGCTAGACAAGAATACAATTTCAATTATTTAGAAACATCGTACAAATATAAAAATGAGGGATATTCCAGTCAAACAGGGGAAAGTATGAGTCTGTATGCAAATATCACAAAAGAAAAATATTAAGGAAATAATGTGGATTAAAGATGATTAGGAGGAACAAAAGATATTGTGGTTAAAATGTGAAATTATTTAGTTAGCTATTCCTCATTTATCTATTGGGTGAGAGGTTAAGATACTAAAAGTATTATAGGTATGTAAGTTGATGTATTCTTATTCATATACTTTCATCACTATCTCAAAGGGTCACAAATCATACCTGCAACTGTGAACACTGGGGAATTTTCCTTCGAGATGGACTGGGAAAAAATGAACTCTGCCTTCTGACCGATTCCAGCCGTTTCTGCAGAGGGGTGGCACCTACAAAGTAGTCTTTAAGATCTGAGGTACTTTGTTTAGAAGTCGATCCTCGCGAATCATAAGAATCCATGGTCTGCATTTAAAGAAAGAAAGAAAGAACTAGAATTCTAATCACTAAAAAGCTAATTCATGCACACTGCGCTACAGGTACTTCTTACTCTTTCCTTCCCACTCCCCACCGTTTCCACAACATCCTCGTTTCCTGTCTTAGCCCCTGTTCCACTGCTGTGAAGAGAAATCCCAAAGCAAGGCCTTTTACAATATGAGCTCTAGAATAAGTCAAATAATGTGGTATACGTGTTGTAAAGGAGACTTGCAAGACCACCATGAAGGATGGGCACAACAGGGGCTTCATGATGACCCTAAAGAGCTGTCTCTAATCTGGTTTACCAATTTCAAAAAGTGAGGGAAAACGTATAAGATGAGTTTATATGAGCACATGGAAAGACAGTATTTATGACACCTGACACGGTGGGTGGATGGTTCTCCTCCAGGGTCCCTGAAAGTTGGAAGGCTCTATCAAGGGAGCAAAGGCCAGTCCTAAGCAAAAAGACAGCTACATCACAGTTTGCTCCCCTTTCCTGAAGGAGGCTGCAAAACAACAGCAACAGAATGACCATTCACTAACTGGCCCCAGATCACCAGTAAAAAGAAAACCATGTTTCCAGGTTGGAGCCCTGCTCACCCCTGCTGGCTCTGCCACTCACCACTCTCAGTAGCCAGAAAGATGTGTGATTTCTAGCCAGAAAACTAGAGGGCATCTTTACAGACACAACTCCACATCGGCAATACCTTTAACTAGAACTTGACCTGCAGAGAAAATCCCTACTGCTTTCCAAACCTGCCTGTATAAGACATTTCCTTTCCTACCAACCCTTCTTCAGCCAGAAAAGTGACAAAACTGAGCCGAATGTGCTATAAAGTACAATCGTCAATGAATTTGTTCATGGATATTAGGTCTTTAACAAATATTCTCTCCCCCTGAGGTGGGGAGCAGCCTTACCAGGCCACAGAGGAAGACAATACGGTCAGTCCTAATGAGACCTGATAGGCTAGGGTCAGATGGAAGGGGAGGAGGACCTCCCCTATCAGTGGACTTGGAGAGGGGCAGGGAGGAGATGAGGGAGGGAGGGTAGGATTGGAAGGGAATGGAGGAGAGGGCTACAGCTGGGATACAAAATGAATAAACTGTAATTAATATAAAAAATAAATAATTAAAAAATATATTCCCCTTTTGTTTGGGGGTGTTTTGTTTATATAGAGTGATAGCTTCACTGTGTAGGCCAGGTTGGCCTAGAACTCAGCAATTTTCTTGCATCAGCCTCCCTAATGCTGGGGCCACATCTGGTACTACTGTTCGTTTGCTCCTCAAATGACCCCATTATGTAAACTACTACGTAGCCAGTTGACAGAAGGGAAGGGTCTGAAATACTTCCCAAGACTTGCCCTCTCAGAAGCTTTCTAGTATCCACACAACTATATCGCTCACCAAATTCTCTTGTACTCAGTTCCTAACACACAACTAAACCTCAGTTGTCTCTCTTGTGGTCAGTTCCATGAAGAAAGGGCACCTAAGTTAATCATTGCAATATTGCCACAAAAGTCAACTGACTGCCCCATACCAATGCTCTTCTGGACATTAACTTCAGTTGGGAACAAGCAAAAGAAACTTATTCTAAATACTACCATTTGGTCTTCAGACTCCATAATCAAACTGAGTTCAAGGTCCCAGGCCCTAGGGGAGTTGGAGACTTCCTAATAACTGAACAGCTTCTATTGTAAGGAGACAGTTGTCTGAGTCCAGACATCTCAGGGATGTCTGTTAGTTTTTATCTGTAGTTTCATTTGGTTGCTTGATTGTTGTTCTGTGTTTCCTATTCAGAGGAAAGGTCCAAACTTCATCTGCTGGCCATTCACCCCTTGACTTAGTTTTAACTCAATTCAAGGGCTTTCAGAAAAAAAGCAGCTGAATTGAGACAATAAAAACTGATAAACTGGTGCTGCTCTTGGAGTCCTGTACCTGCAGGAGCCTAGCACTGCTGGAGAAGCCTCACCTCCTGCCTGGATCAAGCTGACAGCAAGTCTGGGACTGCCTGATCTGTACAAACTGCTCTTAAAGGGGCACCAGCAGCTTCTCAGCTTGTCTGGTGAGGAAGCTGATGGCTAGTCCTGCTACAAAACCTCTGTGCCCATGAGAATTTAAACTAGACTTGATTAATGAGATATTAAAGCTGTACCTGCATGAGTTCATATACAAAAACTTTTCTTGCTGGCAGCCGAACTTTATAACATAAAAATAGTGCACGTGGTATTAGTTTTAGAGACACTGAATTGCTTACACTGTTAAAACTTGGTTTGTCTTCTAAAAATTACGGTTATGCTCTGTGTCTTCACTCTTTAAAAAGATACTTCCTTTTGATATTTCAAAAACACACAACTGAGAGTTTTCAAGTTCTTTAAAGAAAATTTTGGAGTTTTATAGAAAATTTAAAACCGTATTAAAAAAATACAGCTTTTAAAAATGTTTAAATTTATAAGGCTATGGGATATTTTAAAGTTTAACAGGTATTTTATTATAATATCTTTATTAACATATGATCTTGACGAATAGATGAATAAAAAAACTAAAAATTAGGGCCATGGCTAAACACCAGAGACTAAAGAATTCCTAGCTTATGATGTAATAAGACAATGACCTTGGGCAACCTGACAAAGAACTTATAACAGTTTCTCAACCTATAGGTTGAAACCCTTTGGGGATCAAAAGACCTTTTCACAGGGGTAGCCTAGGATTGTCTACAAATCAAATGTCTATTTTATGACTGATGTCACTACAACATATTAAAGGGTTACAACATTTTAAAAATGAGAATCACTGGCTTAAAAATATGTCTTTCCTACATAAACTCTATTCAGGCTAACAGAGACAGATTTAAAGACAAATATTTAACCTCCCTGTTTTTACTAACATTATTGATATATAGCTATTTTTTATAAACTGAGTCATACAAAGAACTGTTATGTTCTATAATAGCATACCATAAAAGATCAAGAAAGTCCCAATCTGAGGAGGACCTCCCCTATCAGTGGACTTGGAGAGGGACTTGGGAGGAGATGAGGGAAGGAGGGTGGGATTGGGAGGGAGTGAGGGATGGGGCTACAGCTAGGATAGAAGTGAATAAACTGTTATTAATATTAAAAAAAAGAAAGTCCCAATTTCTACATTTAAATCTTATCTTGATACTACTGAAAGAGCTTTAGTTCAGAAATTATCATTTTATTATAAGCTGTTAAGGATAAAAACATACAAATTAATAGTCAGTCATCTTATAAATGATTAAATTCTTTAAGATGTTCAGAAATATATTTGTAGTCATGCTAAGGACTAATATAATTAATTATATATGTATATGTTTTCAGGGTTAAGCCTAGGTTGGGTAACTAGAAACAACCAAAATTTGTCTATTCAAATATACTTTAGATGATAGACAGTCCTCAGACACTTCAAGGATCTACAGAATATGGCATTTTAAATGTTTAATAAGAAACGCTTTCATGATAGACATGCCAGCTCCTGACTGCACTCCTAATCTCCTCCAAAGAAGATGGGCACAGGAGAACCTTCACCTTAAGCTTGCTTCAAAGGTGGCAAAGCTGGCCAGTGGGCTGTAAACTGCCCTTTACCTCAACTGTTCACAGCACGCTGTCCAAACTGTGGACAAGCAGGACACTGGAAAGTGAACTGCCCAACTTTGCCAAGACAAGGTAGGCTAGTCCTTCAAAATGCATGCTTCACAAAAAAGTCTGTTAAATCTAGCAGTCGAAGCCTGATGCATCACCAACAGAGGGCCCTGGGGTCCAGGTAGCCGATCTCTGTCAGACTCGGAAGCTGCTTGGTCTGCACTTCCTGCTTACTTAGGTGAAATTTATCTTTCTCAGATCTCTGATAGGTTTGAAGACTAGACTAATGAAAGATTTATCAATTTAACAGCAGCAACCAAGGCTTCAGCTGCCCTGTCAGTTACTTTCACATGCAAAAATCAGGCCACAGGCCTTACTCTCCTACAGCTGCCACTACTAGGCCTTGTTACCACCAGACTTAGGAAACAGGTTTCAAAATAGCTTTTTGCTATCCCTTTATCTAAAAGAACTTACTATACAGTGACTGCTCCCAATAATCAACCACCTATGTCTCATGATAAATAATTAGATAAAAAATAAAGCTTATATAAAGTCTAAGGATACAGAAGTTTAAGTTGTGAGGATCTAAGAAAACATTTAGGATCTAAGAAGATTTTTAAGGTTGGTAAAAGCAACCTTATGAAAGTTGGAGGATATGAAAGCTTAAATGTTGATAAGAAAATGATTTAAGGTATATAAAAGAAATAAAAAATGCTTAAGATTTCTTTCCCTCACTATGCTACCGTTATTTTAAGACCTCAAAGTTCAGAGCTTTACTATTAATCAATGGAATTTGGTAAATTATTAATCTAACTCTGGTAAAATACTCCACTGTAGAGCCACTGTCCTAGTCACAGGCTCAAGATTTTAAATTGTTTCCCAAGCTTCTACTATGGCACTAAGGTATAAGAGTCTATTGCCTTCTCTACAATGTGGATTTTAATGCAGATTATAAACAGTAGTAATACTAACATATCTAAAACGTATCTAAAATTTTGTAAACTTAAAAAGATTCTTATAAGCTTCAGAGAACAACTTGGATCCACTTGCCACAGGTCAAATGGACTCCAGGTAAGTACCTCTACCTGTTCCTGAAAATGGAAATTTCCCCTGGTCTTGGAATTCTTTACCTTCCCCAATTACTAGGAAATTTTAATTCTCTCCCTAGTCTTGTCTCAGCTGATTTTCACTTGGCTGACAGACTCCATCCAGGGATCACTTGAGGAATGAAAACTGCTAAGTTCTGGACTTCCTGAAAGCTAATGTAAACCAGTCCAGCCAATGTGACTGCTTCCTGTCTTTCAGCTAGATTGGCTAATCAGATGCTTCTGACATTGCCCAGCCTTTCAGCCTTCCTGGGCCCCAATAACAATGTCCTCATGTCAGCTGGAAGCAGAGAATATGCCATCCATTGTCCCACCTAACAAACAGGCTGAAATGCTAAGTCAAAAGGAGCTCCCTGGCATAAGGGACAAATGGTTACCTATAATGCCAGATGACATACCAAAAATGGGCCCAGATTTGTCAACTGATAAAAGTCATTACTTAAATAGTCTACAGTATAATAGGGCACTTACTTAGTCTGCTTTATGGTAAACAAAAGATATTATATGGCTTTTAAGAAATTATTATTTCTATACTAACCAATCGGGTTGCTAGGGATACTCTCTGAAGAATTAAGGAGAATAATCTCTTGCAGAGGGAATGGGACAAGATGAATGATCAAAACTGGTTCTAGTCTCTTTGTCAACTAGTTCCCATGGCTATCCACTCTCATCACCAGCTTGATTGGGCCCATAGTCCCTGTTCCTCCTCAATTATGCCTTATGCCCCTTGCATGAAAAATTTCATTTCACTTCTTTTTCAAGACCGCATTAATGCTATCAAACTTATGGTTTTGAGGGCATAATACAATCCCTTATAAATGGATAGAAGGCATAACATCAAAGATTTGATTAAGGTACAAAAACAAGGGGGAAATGTGGGAACAAGCAAAAGAAACTTATTCTAAATCTTACCATTTGGTTTTCAGACTCCATAATCAAACTGAGTTCAAGGTCCCAGGCCCTAGAGGAGCTGGGATTTCCCAATAGCTGAACAGCTTCTGTTATAAGGAGACAGTTGCCTGACCGCAGACAGCTCAAGGACAACTTGTAAGGAAACAGTTGTTTGAGTCCAGACAACCCATCTTGCTAGCAGTGTAAAACTAAGTTCATGTGCCCAGGCCCAGGAACCAACTCCTATCCTGATTGATGCAAAGTTCCTTGCTCAACCCTTATGTCAACCCTTATGCTACAGCTCATCGGGCTCCCCCTCGCTGTATGGTTTCATCCTTTAAATATGCTGGACATGGTCGCAGTTCAGTTCCCGAGTCTGTTCTGTGGCCCTGATCGATCGGAAAGTAGCGGCTTGATTAACATAAACTTTTGGCATCTGCATTGACCTGGTGTTTGAATTATGTTGGATTTAAGCGTACCCCACCACAGTTTGCAACCCATCTAAATACACAAAAGCATTGCAAAGACAATAGCCATAGAACAGAGCTCACTGCAGAACATGGCCAGTCCAGGACTCACACAAACCTCTCACCAAAAATATGTCGTAAGGATGCTGTCATCCTTTCCGGATTCACGAATCATTCTTCCAGTCTGGCTCAAGACTACGTCGAGACGAAAGGTTTTCTTAAGAAAAAAAGACAGCGGCCAAAATGACTGCTTAGAAAGACTGAAGCAATCCCAGATGAGTTCAGAAAAGAGTTCAGGAGCCCAGCGAGGGAACCAGGGCTCCCACGGACACCGGCAACGCCTGCGACTTCAGCCCGGGAGAGACAGTTCCGCTTCCCTGGCGGCCCGGCTCTGCGACCCTCACTCCTCAGAAGCTGGCGTCTGCCCACGAAAGACAAGGCGTCCCCAAACCCCTTCTCCGGAGCTCTCCTGCGATCAAAGACAGACTTGAAGCCTCCGTTCCCAAAGGCGCAACTCCATACACAACTCGCCTTCCACAGTTTAAAATTATTTCCCGACTTGCCCTGCGGCCGCGGAAAGCCTTCCTGGTGGCCCGCCGACTTCACGTAAATTAGCAACTGAAGCCGCCATTTTAGCTGAGGGCAAAGCTTGGCGACGCTAATCAGTAGCCTCAAATTCCCAACTGCGCTGCATTGCTCTTCCGTCTTGCAACCGGCGCGAAGCTTTCTTGCACACTTCCGCCCAGAATAAATATGGCGGAGGCGCGCTCACTCTGATTGGCCGAATACCTTACGTTGGCTTTGGCAGTCGCGGGGCGTTGGCGAGACCAGCTTCTGAACGTGGCTTGTGCTAGGCTTCGAACCTCAAAGCATTTCGGAGTTCAGAAAAATTCCAGACGGGCCGCCAGGATTGGGAGAGTTGAAACGCGAGGCTGTACCTCCTTGTGATTCTGTTTATGCCCTGCTCACCTTCCAGAAAACGTGGAAATAAAGAAAGAACGAGCGCCGCGTGACCGGCCTTCCCTCCTGGGGCCGCAGCCCTGTTTAATTAAAGTGGGAACTGATGCACTGAAGGAGGCAAAGGTTTTACCCTACCCACTCACCCAAGGCCGCTTGAGACCTTGCAGATTAATCTACGTTGTAGCTATTCGGACGGTCTGCGGAGGAGGGTCTGGATGTGTTTGAGTGGGAACTAGGAAATCAGAGTTCCCGGGTATTCCGGAAACCGAGTTCGGACACCACCACACCCACAGCGTGGGATTCGTGATTGTATCTCGAGTTCCTGGGACTTCACCATGTATCTTGGTTCTTGGTTAAGTCGTCTGTGCAGGGGTTTATCTAGACCCATCGGAAAGACGACCCAGCCAACCTGGGGTTCTCTCTCCAGAAGTCTGGCGTTGAGTTCACAGAGAATTCCAGGTAAAGGCAGCGATGAGCTTCCGCCGGGTTTTGACAGCTTTTTTTCCCTTGATTACAAAAAACAAAGGTAGATAGGACAGTCTGTGCGTAGTTGGTACTATTAATAGAAAAACTAAAAATAAATATTTTTCACACAGTAGTTTATTGATGTGCAAATGATTGTTATAAACTAGATTTGTACTAAAGCTAAATCGTAACTTCCCTGTCAGACAGGTAATTCTAAGATCATATTTCACTTAGTAAAGAAATATGTATTTAAAATTGGACAATTATGATTTCGGGTGCATGCTAAATGCTAGATTATGCAAAAACTTTAGATTTCTAACAGAATGCAAAATTTTACTTTGGGGCAGTTTGGGGTTTGATACATGCAGGTAAACACAGTAGGGAAATTGTATGATCTAGCTGATAGAATGGTGCAGAAGAGTTACACAGCGGGTTCACAAATCATGCCACGCGACTGGTTCCACGTGGGAGGTTTATTAGGGGAAGGGGTTGTACAGACCGTCTCTGGACAAGGCAGGAGAGAAAAAAGGGGGAGAGGAGGAGGAGATTTGAGTTCTCTTATAAGGCCGCCCAGAGCGTGTGCAGGTAGTTTCCGGTGGTCTGCAGGTGGCCTCACAGATGCCTGATAACCAGTTCGTTGGGTGCCCTAGGGCTGGCTGATGCCTGATAACCAGTTCGTTGGGTCCCTTAGGGCTGGCCGTAGAGATGCCTGCTTAAGGATCCGAACACTATGGTTGAGTGCGTTGAGTCACTTGCTGCCAAGCCTAAGGACCAGGGTTCGTTCCCAAGAGCCACACTGTGGATGGAAGAAGAGAACAGAATCAAACAAATTGTCTCTGACGGGTGCACCATGGCATGTGGGCCAACACGAGTGGGGACACACACGTACACACAAATGTAATTTAAAATCTTTACTAACTTCACCAATTGACCTGTTAACTATACCATGAATGGAGAATATTTTTAAACAAACAACAAATATTCTTACTATTGCAGTGTATTTTTTTTTCTTTTTTTTTCCAGAATTGAGTAGCTTTGTTGCTCGGACCAACACATGTGGAGAATTGCGTTCTTCCCACTTAGGCCAAGAAGTCACTCTGTGTGGATGGATTCAGTACCGAAGGTAAACTGAAGCAAATAGTTTAGGAATACGTGGAGGCTGTTTTCCCAAACAATTCCAGCCTTTACTAATTTTTATCCAGGGAGGGAATTTATATCTTGCCAGTTTTGTAGTTTCTCTGAAGCCGCTGCATTTTCGGTTCTGTTTTGTTTTGTTTTGAAAAGTTCTAATAGTGTCACTCTCAGTAAATACCAGTGTCATCTGTTAAAGAGTGTAGGGATAAAACCTGATCCACCAGAAGACTGAAATAATCTTGAGCTAACTTAGTAACCAGTAGCTGGGAATTGACTAGAGTTCTGTAAGCCAGATGTGAAGCAGCAATAGCATAGAGAAAGCTTACTCCATTCAAAATTTAAGCAAAGAAAAAGCTTAAAAAACATGAGCAGTAATTCCTTAGGTTCAAAACCCACTGTTGTTTTTATTGTTTGTTTTATTCATCTCTTATGTTCAGAAGCGTATTAGCATATTAACTCACATTGGAAAAAGTCCAAAATGTGGGTAGATACTTGTCACATAAAAGAAGTTACTTTGGCTCTTAAAATGTTCAGCATGCTTGGTACAAACATTGATTATCTTGGCAAGAATTTTGTCCTTAACCTGCTTCTTTATAACTGTATCAATAGTACACTGAGTGACAGTGTAGACCCTTACAGTTTTACCATAGTACCATTCTAGGAGCATTTTTTTTTTAACTGTATTTATTCCCTTAGTGTCTGCAATATCACCCTTATAGAGTCATATATATGTGGACAAAGGAATACCTCTGTTCTTTCCAAAAGCCCTGAAGAAGATTGGTTGTCTCTTCTCTTTCCCTTTGTATTTGCTTTTTGATGAATTACTGGAAGATGGCTATTCTATTGCTTTCTCTTTCTTTTTTGCGATCTTAAATTTGTTTTTATTTTATGTGTATGAGTATTTTGCTTGTATGTATGTCTGGGCATGCGCATGCCTGGTGCCCACTGGGGCCAGAAAAGGGTGTTTAATTCCATGAAGCTAGAGTTACAGACAGTTGTAAGCTGCCATCTGGGTGCTGAGAATCAAACGTAAGTCCTCTGGAAGAGTACAAAGCTCTCTTAACCTCTGAGCTACCCCTCTATCCCCTGTTTTCCCTTTATTATTTATTTAAAATAAAGAAAATTGTGAATTATCTCTTTCAATTTAGGGAGAAAAAACTGGCCAATGAAATGTTTCTAATTCTCTAAAATATTATCTTTGGATTTTACTATGTGAAAGAAAAGTTTACAAAGTTAATAAAACTTTTTTGTGAGGACTTGAGCTAATGAAATGTTTTTAAGTTTTCTTTTTTTGTTTTTTGTTTGTTTGTTTTTTGAGATAGGGTTTCTCTGTGTAACTTTGGCTGTGCTGGACTTGCTTTGTAGGCCAGGCTGCCTCTGCCTCCCTGATGGAATTACCAGGCATGTGCCACCATGCCTGGCAAGTTTTATTTTCTTAAATAATAAAAGCTTACTGTTAGGGAACTGAAGAGATGGTTCAGTGGTTAAGAGCACTGTCTGCTCTTACAGAGGTTCTGAGTTCAATTCCCAGCAACCACATGGTGGCGCAACCCATCTACACCCTTGATGCCCTCTTCTGGCATACAGGGGTACATGCAGATAGAGTACTCATATACATAAAATAAATACATAAATCTTAAAAAAAAAAAAATAAGCATTAACCGTGATTTGTCATTAATATCTCTGAATATCAGTGGACTTAATTCCCCAATTTAAAAAAAAAAAACTTATTGTTAGAATTTATTCTATTTTCATGATTACAGACATTATAAAAAAGGATAGGCAAATAAAAACAAATTAAGTGCTTATTCCCTTTCAGCCTGATACAGTGTTTTGCTCTTCTTATGATAAGCTGGTTAGTATAGCTCATTGACTAGGGAGCTTGTGCTTTAGACTCTCCCTCCACAGGTACTCCACATACTCCTGAATGACAATGTGGGCTCTAGAATGGTGTTTGGTGTTCTTGAACCTTCCACATCTGAACTAAGCACCTCTCACGAAAGGAGGATCCTTCCCCTTTACTATCCCAGGCCACCAGCAGTCTTTTGTTCTGTTTTTGTTGTTTCGTTTCGAGAGAGTCTTACGGTGTAGCTGGCTGGCCTGAAAAACTCACTCTGTAGACCAGGCTGGTCTGAAACCCACAGAAGTCCACCCGTTTCTGCCTCCTGAGTGCTGGGGTTAAAGACGTGTGCCTCCAGAACGGGTTACCAGCAATCTACCTGTTTGTTATTATATAGAAATAAAACCATACTCCCAAGTTGTCTAAAACTGCTACGCCTAGATTCCTTCTTACAACAGAGAAGACTTCATAGCCAGTTGGAATCAAGAACAGTGAACCCGGTACAGTGTACCTGATTTTTTTTTTTTTGCAGCAAAAATTAAGTCAGGCAGCCCTAACCATCATAATTAGTATATCATTGTTTGCACACAGGGTGTAGGTAAAGCTGATTCTCCATCTTTTGTTTTGTTTTTGTTGTTATAACCAGAATCCCAAGATTTATTTGATTTTTACATATTGAGTTTCTATATAAGATGCTGGAGCAAGTGAGAAAGATAGTTGATTATCTTCTACAGGTAGGAAAAAAGACATCAAGAAATAAAACTCTTCTGCAGAACCCATCAAATATCATGACTGTTTCATAGCCTTAGTTTACAAAATCCATAGTCTCTGTTTCCTTAGATGAGGAATCTGTTCTCAGGGAAGCCGACAATATCAAGAACCATTTTCACCACCTGGAGATATGGCTCAGGAGTTAAGGGTGAATACTACTCTTGCAGAGGACCCAAAGTTGGCTTCCCAGCATCTACATCAGGCTCACAATTGCCTGTAACTCCAGTTCCAGAGTGATCTCATGCCACTGGCCTTCCAGGAAACCTGCATATGCCCCCATATAGACAAATAATAGAAAACGGAATAATCTTTAAAAATGGGTAGTTTTCAGGTTTTTTTTGTTTTGGTTTGGTTTTTTTTGTTTGTTTGTTTTGGTTTGGTTTTTTTTTTTTTTTTTTTTTTTTTTTTTTT